AATACTGCATGGGTGATTTTTGGTGGCTACTGCATTGAAACAGAGGAATTGTCACGCTTACAAGTTCATGATCTGAAAGCCCCTGTTTCACGACTACAGTATATCCTGAAAAAGCACGTTTTACGAATACCAAATCGAGGATAGAGCTTGCATATGTTTCTACAGAAGAAATATGCTTCTCAGAATTAAGGCAGCCTCGGAACAGTAGGCCGAGGTTAAAAGAAGAGAGAGGCCGATATCTATCTATCTATCTATCTATCTATCTATCTATCTATCTATCTATCTATCTATCTATCTATCTATCTATCTATCTATCTATCTATCTATCTATCTATCTATCTATCTATCTATCTATCTATCTATCTATCTATCTATCTATCTATCTATCTATCTATCTATCTATCTATCTATCTATCAATCTATCTATCTATCTATCTATCTATCTATCTATCTATTTATCTATTTATCTATCTATCTATTTATCTATTTATCTATCTATTTATTTATCTATTATTTATCTATCTATCTATCTATCTATCTATCTATCTATCTATCTATCTATCTATCTATCTATCTATCTGTCTGTCTGTCTGTCTGTCTGTCTGTCTGTCTGTCTGTCTATCTATCTATCTATCTATCTATCTATCTATCTATCTATCTATCTATCTATCTATCTATCTATCTATCTATCTATCTATCTATCTATCTATTTATCTATTTATCTATTTATCTATCTATTTATTTATCTATTTATTTATCTATTTATCTATCTATCTATCTATCTATCTATCTATCTATCTATCTATCTATCTGTCTGTCTGTCTGTCTGTCTGTCTGTCTGTCTGTCTGTCTGTCTATCTATCTATCTATCTATCTATCTATCTATCTATCTATCTGTCTATCTATCTATCTATCTATCTATCTATCTATCCGAATATGTCTGAGTGCTCTCGTGGTCACCCCCTAACTTGGGGCACACCAAAATTAGTAGAGAGGTAAAATAGTTTAACGAATAGGACTAGCTGGTCATGACATGAATGATGTCACATTGCTGTCGCCTACGTCGTCAAACACTTAAATAAAACAGTAGCCCATGCCCGTAGGCGGGTATGTGGAACTGATTTATTGATGTGTGCGCTTCAAAGTTCCCAAACCACCATATGATTATGAGAGACACCGCAGTAGAGTGCTCGGAAATTTACAACACCTGGGGTTTTTTAATGTGTACCCAAATCTTAGCGTACGGGCCTACGGCATTTTCGCCTTCATTGAAAATGCATCCGAAATTCAATACCGCGACCTTCGGGTCAGCCACCGATTACCTTAGTCACTAGACCAACTTGACGGGGAGGGTATGTGCAATTATTAAAGGGGTGTGGGCCACAGTTTATAGACGTTTTATATCAACACAAGAACGGCGAGAACGCACATGGGTAATTTCAACGCTTGAGCTTAAAAAAAAACTCACTTAGGCAGCGTTTACCGCACCAATGTAAAAAATGAGTGTCAGTTTCCCAGCAGGAACCGAACCCCAGCTTTCTGCGCGGCAGTAATGTGTTCTAGCAAAGAGCCACTCCATGTCTCGGAAATACTTTCCAAATACCCCCTAAATTGGTGAAACGTCAGTTCTAGTTGCAATCTTGGCTATCAAGGTTTATGAGCATATCAAATTTACTCCTATAATACAGCCGTCATGTCGGGTTAACGTATTGTAGTTAGACGCCACCCGCTGAGGACGATTTGTGTAGCTGTGCTTGAGGGCTACCATCCTCGTTAGCTCCAGCGCAAACACCAGCGCTTCATATGAGCCTACCGCTTCTGGTGTTGCTAATATCTATGTTGCTGTCGGCATCGTTACACACCTGCACACAATTGATAATATAAAACATATATGGCTGTTTAACATATACATGTACGTGGATTTGTACATATGTTAAGCGGCACTTCATAACGTTTAGCTTCATAAAAAAGTTAAAACACATTCATCTTGACTGCGTGTTTCGCAAAGTGGGTGGAATCTTCTGAATTTTTGCCTCTCTTCTTTTAGTTTTCTTTTTTCTAGGTTTTTCTGCCTTTTTCTTCTCTTTATAAATGTAGATATTTCTATCTTCCTATTTTTTCGGTGCTCTCTCTCTATTTCTCGCTTGCTTCCTATTTTTCTCGTTTTATACTTTGCGTTAAGCCAAAAGACGATAGCATGTGACAGGCCGGCCATCTGAAGTGTTCCCCACACGACGTCGTCATCATTAACGTGCTCGAAGAACAACCGGAAGAAGACTTCTTGGCGTGAACGCACTCTCAATGATCTGCAAATGGCCATGGTATGCGCAGTTTTGCCCGCTTTACGCCAAGGTAGGTAAGACGACAACTGCGAATCAAAGGTGTTCCACAATTTAAGTGGCCTGCCTTTGTTCCTCGGCTTTCCAGGGTAATTGGGGAAGTGAAGAGTTGTTGGAATGTCAGATCAGCGGCTGCCATCATCGCTGATAACATGTTTGGCCATAACTCTGGACAATAAACGTCACGTACGAAGGGGCACGGAAAATACTTGACGCACCTTTTTAGTTCACTGAGCCCCATGTGCTCATTACTAACAATGATTCCCACAGTCTGCAACGTCCCATACATATTCACTACACTTAGTGGGAGGCTAAGGGTGATCAAGCTTTTTATCAACTATAATAGGATAACAGGATGACGCAGATCATCAGCGAAGTTCACGGCGCCAATCGCCGTCAGACAGGCTAGCCTCGTTTTACTCTTCGTCGAATGAAGGCTAGCACGTTTCACTGCCCGGTTCGCACACGATGCCCACTGGGCAAGTCGATCAGATGGCAGCACTCGTAGTATGGGTTAAGGCGCGCAATGTATGTCGGCTGTGTTTTTCTAGAGAGTCGACCATTATGTGGGGCGCTTGAGATTGCGTGCGTTACGCCAGTGAGGCGGTCGAGAAGTAAAGAAGAAAGAAGGAGGAATGATTGTGTTTATTCGAAAAAAATTATACATAGAAATAATATACAAACGGGGATCCCAAAGTTCTAGGCTTTAAGGGGGCCTCCTGTGCTGGTTAAAAAAAGAAAATAAATCAAGCATAGCGACTTAACAAACAGGAGAGAATAAGTAAAAAAATGAATAACACTTGACAACAAATGAGCTAAAACATGATACACAAGTGCACTGAAATACATGCGAGATCAAAAGTGAACGATGCAAATCAGCTTAATACAAACTACAATTACTCAGCCAAGTTCAAAAGCTACCATGCAGTAACAGTAAAACATTCACGAATAGAATACTGCTATACGAGATATCACAAGTGATTGTTTATAATGGGCAAAAAAAATAAAAGTGGTATGGAAAAAAGGGGCAACGATTTCAGACGCATGAATATAAGCGAATTTGGTGTAATATAGTAAAAGCATAATGGGCAAAACAGTTCTAATTGAACAGCATAAACTAGAATTATACCCTAACGTTAAGTAAGTACAAAAATTGTTTTTTAAAAGTACCTTTGCTGGGAGACATTGTCACGTGACTTATAATACCGTTCCAGACAAAAATAGCTGTGAAAATAGAAGCGAATCTACCAAAGTTAATTTTCACTTTCGGTAACAAAAAGGTAATATTTGATGCAAATGGAGTTGTATTTTAATTCATGAGTTGTTCTTTGTTTAAACTATGAATTGCATGTTAGAGTGAAGAGTATTGTATGTAAGGATTGCCATGTTAAAATGGAAAAGTTTCTGGATGGTTTGAATACGATGCCCTTGCAAAAGAGCACATGCACTGCATCGTGGTGACTGAAATGTTATAAGGTGAGTGACCTAGTTTTGAATGTGTTCTAAAGGAGCCAGACGACTGCTTTATATATTACACCAGGACGCAACGCACTAAGTCAAGTGACTGTGAATGAAAGCGCAGTGAAGTGAAAGTAAAGTATTCAGACCGAAGTATGGACGTGCCTTGACGAAAATTCCGATACCATAGGCAGCTTTTTGATTTAAGTGTGAGACATCCATGAAGTGTTTGAATAATACTTGGCAAACGGCAATGACTGGAAGCCTTGATGTAATAAATATTGACCGTTATAGATGCAAAACAACGACCCTTTTCTCAGTGTGGTGAAATAACACAAAAACTGTTTTAGGGCGGTCAATTTCCAATTAATTATGATGAAACCAGTGAATTATACTTTCAAGATCGCTATTGAACTTAGAAGTAAGACTATCAATCGAGGTGCATGTCATTAAGATCGCAGTGTCATCCACATAATGGTAAGGTATACAGTGCGATAGGGGAGAAGTCGGACCGTTAATGCAAATGATGAAGAGTAATGGGCCTAGAGTAGATCCCTAATGCACTCTCCAATTGACTGATTTAAAATTTGAAAGATCGTTAGAAATGCTAAAAGTCTGTTCTCTGTTAGCTAGGTAGCGGTGAATGAAGTTCAACGCAAATCGTAGCATGCCAGCCGCGTTAGGTTTGTAATTAAAAATAGGATGAAACATTGGCTTGACCGCTTTAGTGGGGTTAATCAACACTGCTACAGCATATTTGCCTGCGTCGATGTAGTGTTATCCGTGAATGAAAGAAGCGCGAGGTTTGTAGAGTAACCTGCGGGAAAGCCAGACTGCGTGGCACGAAGAATGTTATATTTTGTTTGGTCATTTGTTAGGTGTTTTTAAAGCACCTCTCAATAAATTTGCTGAGCACAGACAGTATTTTATTGGGGAGGTAGTTAGAAACCAACCCTTATCACCTTTTTCAAATACAGGAACTACTTTGGCTGTCTTTATATCAGATGGAAACTTATCATTTTTAAACAAAAGGTTAATTACATGTGAAATGGGGTCAGCGATCTTAATGGAGACATATTTCAAATAAACTTATTGAATTTCATGAAGACCTGCGCTTGGTAACTATAATTGCTTGATTTAATTGTGCATTTTTTTTGGTGTGGTAGGATATATGAAGAACGACTGTGTCTGTCTTTCAAGCGTTCCTTCTAAGATTTCGGACACTGGAGCATTATTAACTGTAAATTAATTGTTACATTCGTTATGTATTGCTTTTGGATCTCGGTAGCTGTCATTATGGCTGAAATTTCATCTATTTGTGATTCTTTGGAGTTCCTGTTAAGAACACAGTTGATGAGCTTCTATTGCTTAGTGATACCCTCAGCTTCATGAAACTATTTTCGTAATACATTTTTGGCGTTTCCCAATAATTTCTTTAAGATACGTTGTAGCACGAATATCGCTGCTGCAATTTGAGATTAAATGGGCAACGTTTCCTCTTTTTGTACATATTGTCTTTCCTACGCATGCACTTCAGTAAACCATCTGTGAGCCAAGGGTTATGGGGTGCAAAATACATCTTGCGACATCTGATAAAAGGGGTTGCTTCACGATAACACTGCCTTAATACTGATGAGAAAGCCTCAAAAGTTAGCTGATTATTTAATTCTGATTGAATCGTCGACCAGTCAAAAGATGATACAATATCTATGAATTGAACTTTGCTAAATAGAAATTTTTCAAAAGAACGCTTCATTCGTTGCAATGCTGGCAATAAGCGACAACAAATGGCATAGCGATCGGTGAAATGAATGGGTATTGCGAGACATTTATTGCTCCATAAGTAGTTAGATAATAAATGGTCAATGAGCTAGTTTGAACCACCTGCAATACATCTTGTCGGCAACGTAAGCATTCGATGATGACGAAAGCCTGTAAAACAATTTGAATATTCGATCGAATTTTGATTGGTGTCTTAAAACATTCATGTTAATATCTTGCTTCATAACAACGTTTTTTTCTCGTGAATTTTGATCCTGGATTTTATGCAGTGCCGAACAAAACTTAATCGGATGATGACGGTCAGTGATAGACGCATGCTAAAATGGTTTTTCTTTAATAGGATTGTCCGAGATTGTCATACATTTTTATCAAGACAGATTATATGTTGTCAGTTAGAACAGTGAGATCGTTTCGACGTTTATATGTTACAGATGATGATATGAGTTTAGCAGATTCACCATGGCTGTTTGATTTGCGGTGACAATACTCTGAAGTGTAGTGTGGTAGGGAAAATAAGTTTAGGTCGTCAGATGATAGCCACGTCTCGGACATACAGAGGAAGAAAAAGTGCTGTTCATGTTCAAAGGATGCTAAAAAACACAAATGTAGTCATAATATTTTCTCAGACAACACGTGTCGACGTGGATGGCTGATAACCCTGGGCTCTCGAAAAAATGTCGAAACAGGTCTGTTGTGTAATCCATTTTAAAGCATTTTGAAGATAACGTAGCAATTTAGTTGATTTCCATGCACCAACCAGTAGCTGGATGAAACACAGAAAGGTCTGTGTCCTTTGCGATGCGGTACACCCGACTGTCAACTGATTTTGAATCGTGCTTGAAACTAGCAACACTGTCGGTTCATAATAACAATCAGGCGTGTTCCCTCTTAAGCTTCAGCGCTTTAGAGAACAGCCTTTTTTCTATCGTTAGATGATAATTCCCATAGACCGGGCGACTATGCTAGCCACCAAAGCCCGGCTCATTGGTTTTCACTCCAGCTTTCCATGCCTTCGTAATGAAATCATGTTTCATAGCTCGCGAGCGAAACTGTGCGATGAGATTCTTGCCCCCGTTCGGCATGCCTACAGATGCTGCCCGGCATACGGAAAAGTATGTTACTCGTGTAATGGCCGCAACCACTTCGCGTCTTGTTGCAGTGAGAAAGAGCGCGTGTATGAAGTGCAACATCAGAGCGACGACTTCGAAGTACTGAATGTCGCCAGCAGCTGCGCAAGCAGAAAACGGGACTGGCGTGTGAACGCATTCATTGGCGGCGAGTACATCCCCTTTAAAGTGGACACAGGATCGCAGGCCGATTTTCCGCCACTTTCAATGTTTCGCAAGCTCAAGACGACAACCCTGATGCCCAGTAGCGCAGTTCTGAGATCATATGGTGGCAACACGAGCAAGCACATCGGCAAGTTTTCCGCGCTTATCGAGATTGGTGGTCGCAAGGCGTGCGCAGAATTTTTTGTAGTAAAAAAGGACCACAGCACTATCTTAGGATTGGACACCAGCGAGAAGCCTGGAATCGTGCAGCGGGCTGTTGACACCGTGACGACGAACGACACCGAAGAAATTGTCAAGGAGTTTCCACGTCTTTTCCACGGAACAGGATGCGCCCCACATGAATACAAGATTGAGCTGCACAGGGATGCCGTGCCAGTCGTCCAGCCAGCTCGGAGGGTTCCCCTGTCCCTGCCTGAGCCTCTACGTACTGAACTGGACAGAATGAAAAAGGAGGGCATCATCCAGAAGGTCAGCAACCCCACAGATTGGGTAAGCCCGCTTGTCATTGTACTAAAGAAAGACGGCAAATTGCTGGTCTGCATGGACCTTAGACGCATCAACGAAAACATCAAGAGGGAACACTACCAAATGCCGCGCCGAGAGGATATTGAAGCAGACTTGGCAGGCGTGAAGTTCTTTCCGCGGCTCGACGCAAATGCGGGATTTCATCAAATCGCATGAGACAAACAATCGTCGAAGATATGCACATTCGCGACGCCTTTTGGCCGGTATCGCTTTCTTCGTCTACCATTCGGTATAGCATCGGCGAGCGAAGTGTTTAAAAAGGCCCTTAACGAGATTTTCGATGGTCTTGCCGGTGTACGCAGACGATGTGTTAATTTGGGGAAGGACCAGGCTGAGCACGATGAGAGGCTGCGCAGAGCATTAGAAACAACTGAAAAAGCAGGCCTGACCTTCAATGCATCCAAATGTCGCTTCGGCCAACAAAAAGTGCTCTTTTTGGGTGACATCATTAGCGACAAGGGTATTAGGCCGAATCCTGATCTTGTTGACGGTCTTTTGAAAATGCCAAGACCTCAGGACAAATTGGCTGTCCAAAGGCTACTGGGAGTAGTTAACTACTTCATCAAGTACCTACCAGCTCTCTCACAGCGTGTGTCTACATTACGTTCTCTCATGAAACGTGGTGCCATCTTTGATTGGACATGAAACCACGAAAGCGAATGGCAGGCTATATGCCGGAATTTAAGTAATGCCCTAGTGCTTGCTATATTTGATCCAAATCGGGAGACAAAGGTAACTGCAGATGCCTCTGAAAGTGGGGTCGGCGCGGCACTTCTGCAACGTCATAGAGACTGCAGGCAGCCGGTAGCCTGTGCGTCGAGAGCTTTAACAGAATCGGAGCAAAGATATTCACAGATTAAAAAAAGAAGCTTTGGCTGCAGTTTTTGGTTGTGCAAAATTCAATCGTTTTGTTAATGGCCGCACCATCACCCTCGAGAGTGATCACAGTCCGCCGATAGACATATCAAAAAAAGGCATAAGCGATATGCCACCCAGAGTGCAACGATTTTTCTTGAGATTGATGAAATATGATTACACGCTGACGTACATTCCTGGTAAACAGATGGCCCTTGCTGATATGCTGTCCCGATCACCTGTTCCTGGAATCAAGAGAGCTTCAGGCACGAGTGACGTCGAGATCCATGCCGTCATGGTCGTATCAGCACTCGTAAGTGAAACAACAGCTCTCGATCCATATCTTGGCACATAACACGCGTGTCAGGATTGTCATGTTTGCACCAGTCATATATTTCGTCATTCATTGAGTCACGTTACACGAATTTTGTTATATGTGGAGCTAGCCAAACGGCCACTAGCGCATCATGAGGGGTCCAATATACTCCTATTTAGCGTTGACGCGTGTGCACGCTGGGCACAGCAACGCTATGTTAGCAAATTGCGAGCACTCTATAGTCTGACGCCACGCGCAAATGGCGCGACCAGCGTCGGTCGGCGCGACCCGACGGCAACCGGCATGAAATTCGTGCCGATGCGTTATTCAGACAACACTGCGTCCGGGATGCCGGACGCGCTGAAACGCGCATGCGTCAAAGCGACGCAGCACGGCACACGCCTGCGAGTATATGGCAAAACCGGTGCCTGGCATCGCAAATCCTGCGTGACGCGGTGAAATGAACGCCGGCGAGCACGCGCATTGCGTCACGTCGAAATGTATTGGTGCCTTGACTGCGGCATGTAGTCATGTTCTCACATGACACGGATCTCATTGTTATGTTTGCACTAGTCACATACCTTCGTCATTTATTGACGTCACGTGATACCAAATTTGGCATATGTTAAGATAGCGAGACGGCCAAGAGCGCATTATGAGTGTGGCATGTAGTGATGTTGTTACATGACACGCATGTCGTGATGATGTTTGGATGTGTCATTTACCTATGTCATCCATTCGCGTCGCGTAATACCAATTTTGTACATGTGAAGCTAGCGAAACGGCCGTGAGCGCATCGTGAGCATAGCATGTCGTCATGTTGTTACATGACATGCATGTCATGTTTATCATGTTTACACATGTAGCATACCTTCGTCACCCATTCACGTCCCGGTATACGAACGTTGGTATAAGTGAATTTATCGATACGGCCGCCAGCGCATCATAAGCGTGGCATGTAGTCATGTTGTTACATGACACGCATCTAATGATTATCAAGTTTGCACCACTCACATACCTTTATCATCCATTCAGGTACCGCAATACCAAATTTGGTATATGGGACGCTAGCGAAACAGCCGCGAGCGCATCATGAGCGTGTCAATTAGTCATGTTGGTTCATGACACGCATGTCGTGATTTTTATGTTAGGCTCTGTCACTTGCGTTCGCCATGCAATCATGTCATACCATACCAGTGTTGGAACATGCCATGTGAACGAAGACATCGCGACAGCTGCAGGACCATGAAACATTATACATGACATTCATGATTTATATATCATGATTTTCATGTCATGGCCAGTCAAATATGTTTTTCATACACTCATCTAATGCCATACCAATATTGGTATCGATACCCCTGTCGAAGCAGCCAGGAGAGCTAAAAGTCGTAGGCAGCTAGATAGATAGATAGATAGATAGATAGATAGATAGATAGATAGATAGATAGATAGATAGATAGATAGATAGATAGATAGATAGATAGATACGCTCGATGTGCCGAAGTTCCTTAAAAAATGGCTTTTCGGCCGCTATTTCAACAATTAACGTCCACTCATTGGTTGTCTTTAGTGTCGTTTTAATAATCAGTGGTTATCCTGCCTACAATCCACGTGCGCCGCCCATGTCAAATTTTCTTGATTTCAACTATGATATCGTTAATCCCGGTTTGTTCCCTGGCCCTCTCTGCTTCATTCTGGTCTGTTAAGGTTAAATCCATCATTTTCCTTTCCATCGCTCGCTGTGTCGTCTTAGTTCAAGCTGAACCTTATTTGTAGGCATCCAAATTTCTGCTCCGTAAGTGAGTACTGGCAAGATACAGATGTTATGTACCTTCCTATCGAGGGATAGCGGTAGATTATCATTCATGATTTGGGAATGCTTGCTGAATGTGATTCATCCCATCCTTATTGTTCTGGTCTTCTCTCCCTCTCTCTTACTCGTGTTTCGGCTCCGCAGTTACTACCTGTACTATAAAGACATATTTCTTTACAACTTGGATTGTCTCTCCACCTATCGTAAAGTGCTGTTTTCTGCCGAGACTGTTGCTAAATATTTAGTTACGTGCACAGTATTTTTCAGACCTGCTTTTGAGGTTTCCTGGTCCAGTTCAGTAATCATGAGCTGTAATTCATCCCCTGAGTCACTCATCAACGCAATGCGATCAATGAATAGCAGGTTACTAAGATATTCTTCATTAACTTTTATCCCTAACTCTTCCCAATCTATGTTGCTGCAAAGCTCTTGTAAAAACGCGGTGAACAGCATTGGAGAGATAGTGCCTCCTTGCCTTATACCCTTCTTATAGAGTTTTCATGGAGATGTGTGGTTGCCGTGGAACGACTATAGATTTCTTTCAGTATGTTTATGTAGGGTTCTTCGATGCCCTTATTTCATAGTGCCTGCATTTCTGCTGATGTCTCGTTTGAGTCAAACGCCGTCTCGTAATCTGGCTATGGATAGGGTTTGGTTGTATTCCGCACAATTGTCACTTACCTGATTGATAGTATGAACGTGGTCTAGCGTGGAGCAGCCTGTATGAAATCATGCTTGGCCTTTTGGTTTAATGAACTCTAGTGTCGGCTTAACTACGTTGCCTATTATTTTTGTAAATAGTTTGTAGAGAACGCACAGTAAGCTGATCAGCCTGTAATTTTTCAAGTTCTTGACATCTTTTTTCTTATCAATTCAGATGATGTTGACGTTCTTCCAAGATTCTGGTACCTTTCCTGCCAAGAGACACTCCTTATATAACGTGGCCAGTCTTGCTAACACAATTCTCCGCCATATTTCAGTAGGTCTGTTGTTATCTTATATTAACCAGTGGCTTTGCATTTTTGGATTTCTTCTAGGGCTTTCCTTACTTCACCTGTCGGTACTGGTGGGATGTCAAATTCTTTTAGGCTACCATTGTTTCACACGATATCATCCTAGTGGTTTTGGCTTCTGTACAGCTCTCTGTAGAAGTCTACCGCTACTATCCTATCGAGATTGGTTATGACTATGCCTTCCTTGTTATTAAACGCCTATATCATAATTTGTCTGTGCACAAGCTGCCTTCACAGCTTTTAGGCATCTGTCGCTTTTTACAGCCTGCTCAATTTATTCCATGGCATACCCTCTTATGCGGGCTACCTCACGCCTATTAACTGTGAAAGCTCCACCAGCTCTATATTGTCAGTTGCATTTGAGGCTTTCATGGTTTGTCGTCTCCTAATAAAGTTTTCAGTCTCCTGGGATAGTTTGCCAGTGTCTTCTCTAGCAGCAGCACTTCTGACATTTAGTGCACACTCGTTGATAATAACAGTAAGATTATCGTTCATTGTGTCAACGCTAAGGTCGATTACCTCGTTTAGTGTCTCGAATCTATTCTGAAGCGAAACATCGAATACATGTGCTTTCGCTCTCAGCGCTAGTTCAGTAATTGGCTTATTGCGTACCAGCTTTTGTCTGTGCTTTTCAAATCTAGGTGAATAAGAGCTCTTACCCTTCTCTGGTCACTGAATCGAATATTGCCAACTATTTTACATCCTGTCCAATGCCTGTGTGCACACAAAACGAAGCCAACTTCATTTTTCGCTTCCCGTTTAGGACTTCGCCTCATCAAGATACGGTTAGCTTGTTTTCTGAAGAAGGTATTCAAGATCCATAAGTTACTGTCTTCTACGAACTCTACTAACCCCCTCTGTCATTTCTAGAGCCGATGCTATATTTCACCACTGCATGGTCCTTGACCTGTTTCTTACCTATTTGAGCATTAAAGGCGCCCATCAGAGCAGTCTACTGTGTCTTCACTTTATCAATGGCTGACTCTGCGTATTCATAGAAGCGTTCAATAAAATGATCATCATGGCTCGATGTAGGTGCGTAGGTATGTACCACCTTCAATTTGTACATTTGGTTAAACTTCGTTACGATACTTTCGACCTGATGACCTCACTGATGGTATACTTGCCAGCGATGTTCTTGTGTATAAAAAACCCCACCCGTAGTTCTTTCCTGATAACTAATCCTCGGTAGCACAGGATGTGTCCGTTGTTCAGCACTGTATAAGCTTCACGTGTCTTTCTAACGTCCCTGAGCCCTACGACATCCCATTTAACACTCTCTAATTCCTCGAATTGCACAGCTACACCAGCCTCACTACATATCGTTATAGCGTTGACCGTAGCCAACTTCAAATTCTAATGTTAGCCTGTCTGGACTCAGAGATTCTAAGCAACCTCCAGTGCGTCGCAGACCGACCACCGCCTTGGACCATTGCTTTGCAGCCGCTGGGTACTGGGGGCCAAGGGTCAGTTGTTTTCTTAGGAGGTATTCATTCGAAGAAGTTTTTTTATTGATGTGTGGACATGAGACAACGCGAGAGTTTACTGGCAGAGAAACCTCAGACGTAGCGGGACGACAACTGACAATGGACTTTGAGTCAGTGTTTCCTTGAAGAGGAGCACTCAAGCTTTGTTCCAAAAACTTTGGCCTGAATACATCTCAGAACATTTTAGGCTATAAGTGTCTTGGTTAGTTAATGCGTTAGGTTGCATTGTAGCGCGTTTTGTTGTTTGTTGCCGTTGTTTTGAGTGTGCCTTGTTGTGTTGTGTATCCCGTTGTTTTGAGTATCTTGTGATGGGTGACGTATTGTGCTGAATGATTGCCGAGTGTGCCTGTTTGTGTGTTCATTTTTCTGCATTATATGAGACTATATTTTTGTTTTTGTTATCAACTTTAAGCTCTCCCTTACTTTTTAGACCACTGCCGGCGTTCGCTGGCGCACAAAAAGGGACCAATGGTAAATTGTCCGTGCTTTCATGGTGAATTTCGGGCGGCGATACGTCAGCCTTTGAAATCAGCTTGGCGATTGTCTCCCAAATTATAAAACCAGTGACAATTACAAAGCTGCCATAAGTACCACTAATGGTACACCACCCAATGATTAGATTACCCTCCGTAGGTCCGAACTTGTGAGGGAATCATTTATAGCACAGTGTAGCGTTATCAA